ACATATTGGATAGTTTATAACTGTCCAATATAAGCTAAAAGAACAGTCCAATATGCTTTTTTTTTATAGTAGTGTAATATCACATGATTTCTTTATAAGGGTCACAATATAGACAATCATGTTCCCTTAATAAAAATATTTATGATCATACCTCCTTTATAACCTCTTTATATCTCCAACATGAAACTATGGGCTATTACACATTGAGCTCGTTCCATGTGATGAAACTACCCTAGCCTTTCATGTATGAGAAGCTGCTCGATCTAGGTTACTTAACTCACTTGTAGGTCATAGTTTTTCCTAAATTTCACACTATAGGATAACATTCTCCCTAAACTAGTTTCCTTATTAAACAAGTGGAAAAATAGATTAGGTTCAAGCTCCTTGATAAACTATGGGACAATCCCTTATCAAACAAGTAGGATGATAAATATAAATATAAATATATCTAGGCAAGCCATCAAGCTCTGAATGGTGGCCATACGATATGGATTTTAACTCATTGCTCCTCTTCCTTGGCAAACTCCCACCTTATATGATCATGCCATACGCAAGTGGAACATTTTCATAGCATGTATAAATTTCCATAATGTGGGCATTGCTAAGGGTAATCATAATACTCATGATTTCTTATTAATCACAATCTCATATCACAATTTATCATTAAACTCCATATTGTTATGCACTCACAAATGATCATATTCTCCTAATATTTACATCACATGTTCACATGTATATATATAATTTCACAATATAATACATCACAAAATCTCCACCAATCATTTTACTTTTCAATTTGCTCTTAAGTTCAATCATTTCTCCACATGACTTGCTATCCAACTATTATATTACCCATTTTACAATACCTTTAGCAAATCAATCAACTTATAAATTATGCTAAATATATGTGCTTTTCATTTATAGCATGCCACAATTGCATTGTAAACAATTACACAAGTTTCAATTATAATTTATAGTTCAAAGTAACTAATTAACACACAAGAGTATAAGAGAGATTTTTTATGTTATCTCAAACTTTTGAAAAGTTAAAGGTTTACCCCTCAAATGCACACTTCCAAAACTTCATAGAGCTTGAATGGTGCCAAATTGTGATTAATCTATATTAAATTACATCAACAATCATTAATATCCTCATTAGGATAATCTCCAACATCACATTCAAAGTTTCTAAAACTCAAAACTCTAATTCCTCAGATACAAGGATACCTATAGGGATTATTAGTTTCCTTTAGCTCCCAATAGCATTGTTAAACTCCCAATACATCATTAATGGCATTAAGTATCCTCTAACAACCTATTAATTGAAATTTTTGAATGTTTATGATCCCCAACTAATAAAAATGTATTTATGGATTTTTCTGGGGTTCAAATATCTTAAACAACTTCCATTAACTCTATTGAAGTCAATGAGTCTAGATTCATAGCCCCATAAATCTGAAAATCAACTTCTTTAGCAAACCTTAACTTCTAAACTTAAGAAAAAATGAAAGAGGAAGGAAGATCAATGCTTGGGAGACTTACCTCTAGTGTTTAGGTACTTCAAAACTCCAAGACCTATCAGAGCTCCTTATATGCTCCTCATTTCCTCCTTTATTTCTTCCCTATTTTTTGTCTAATTCTCACCTTTAAGACTGCAGAATCATTACCATGTGCCGCCATGCATGACATATTGATAAGTTAAATTTATCACACACTTTTCCTTATTATTATTCACCAAAAATCATGTTATATTTGCCTAAACTGCACACTTATTGCATTGATAGTGAAAAATTGCCTATGTGTAGGATTTTTTACATTAGGGGCATTTTGGTCATACAATTGGACTTTTGAGAAAATTATTCAAGATGCATTATCAATCCAAAAGAAAAATAGTCCAATTATATTTTTCAAATTCATTCTAAATTGAGAGTAATTAATTTTACAAGTTGACAATTTTAGAAAGTTAAAGTTTCGAGTTGACTTGTTGTCTTGCACTTGGGCTAGGTCATTTTAGTGCATGTGTGGGTTTACATTTTTTTATGCTGAATTGCACGCCCCTAACCTCTTTTGTAATTTCAAAATTAGTTTTTATTATTTAATTTGCATTGTGCCACATATTTGGGAATTAATTTTAATTGAAAATGCAAATTATTATCCATTTGCTTTGAACTTTGATCTTGTGTGTCACATTTGTTTGTGTAGGGTTACACACCTTATATTTAGTGTATGAGGACCATTAGATTGGAATGCTAGATGAGTCAAGAGACAAAACACTTGAGTTTTAGGGTGAAAGTACAAGCCTTGCGTGGTCTTGCACACATTATACCACATTTTGATTTCACTCACTCTCTCTCTATTAATTTCCCATTATCTTTAGCTTTATTTAATTCAATTTTTAGACCAATTTCATCTAAATTTTTGTCCATTTTACTCTAGTAAAGAATAAAATTACCCTAGGTCATTTTTCACCCATTTGCTAAATACTATAGTTAGGCCCACTCACCCTAGACTTAAATCAAACTACTCTAATTTTATTTTCATCATTCATTCCACCTCCATTCAATATTTTTCTAGCCTCCACCCTTCTTCATTCTTTTCATTGTTCTTCATGTTCTACATCTCTATCTCACCTTCTCTTCTTCATATCTCATGATCCAACAATCAAAATCCTAATTTGACTTCACCATTCTTCTTCTTCCACCTTACTCTTTAAACCCTAAACTTCATTTTCTTGGTTTGGCTTTAAAATCCTCAAGGTGTTCATGAGTATGGTTCAGCCATAGTAGAAGGATTGTACTCAAGTTGGTTCCAAGATGACTAGAGGCAAAATCTACAAGGAGTGTTAGGAGAGAAGGATGCTAGAGGAGTCTTAAAGTATCTCAAGGAAGGTTAAGGGTTATAGCCACTCCCCATTAAACCTAAGTTGATGTAATCTTATTCTTAAAATTAGAAGCATTATTATATCTTGTTTTTAATGACAAATTTAACTTGTTGCTTTAGTGTTTTTTCACTCAGTTTCACTTTGTGTAGTTGTTGAAAATTTTCTTCAATACATTGTAATTCATATAAATATATTTTTTATTTGTGTTGAATGTGTCTTATATTGGCTAGGCATAAATATGTTTGGTTAGTGTTTGATAAAATGTATTGTGTGCAAAATTGTACATTTGACATACCATAGGTCGAGCAGCACTTGAGGAATACTAAGAGAGATTTTGATCATTTTGCACTTTACTAAGAAATTGATTAAGGACTTGTACAAAATTATGCAAGGACTTGGTTAATTGAATTGGTTAGGAAGGCAAACTTTTACAAAATTGTGTAAAAGGTTTAATTTGGGTCAAGAGACTATAAGTTAACCTAAGCCTAATTAAAAGGAATAGATAAGGAATCTAGCATCCCATAACTTCGAGGACTCTACTTTAGAAAGGGTTAAACACTCACAATTCCATTCCATTAGTTAATTATTAGGTTTTTAATTAAATATGTCCAATGAATTTAGTTAGTAAAAATTAATCAATCCTTGGTTAGTTTAGTTTACTAGTTAGCCTTAATTAACCTTAGTTAGCCTCCTTAGTAGAGAATGACATAGGTTGCCGCTAATACTATATTAGTGTTAACTTAATTATTTTGGAGTGTAAGTGACTTATCACTTTACATATGCACTACAGCATGTGGTACAAAGATGTTTGCTTCATGTTTTAGTGGCTCGTGCATTGTAGCATGTCATGCACACACCATGGCATATGGCATAGAGCCATATCTCCATGTTTTATTTCCCTCTCTTTTTAAGGTTCTAGGTATCCCAACTCTGCTCTGAGCTCAATCCTAGAGTTGAAACAACAATCCAAAACATTTATTATCTCTTTATAACCACACACTACATTAATTTACTTAATTAACCTCATTTTACTTAGCTAATCAAGGGTTAATTTTTTAGGATGTTACACACTCAAACATACATGGATGGAAATGCTTACACACGTGATTGAGGCTACATGAGAGCATGTTTACCCAAATGGCCAAAACATATGAGGGAGCATACTGAAATTGACATGGATTTGATAACATCTATGTTCTTAATCATCTTAATTTTCATATAGATTAGATGTTGTGCTTGCATGTTTTAATTGCTCTTTATGTTATTTTTTCTTGTGATTCTAAAACTTGCATGGATTAGATAGGTCACTCCTATTGATTATTGACAAAAGGGATTTTTTCTAAAACATGTGTGGGACATTTCTAGAATGCATGTGGATTTGTGAAATATATGTATGTAAGTATGCATGTATGCATGTATGTACTCATTAGGCCACAGCTCAAGCTCGTGTTGCACTCTCACAAGGTTCAAATGTTCTGTCTGAGTGATTTTGAAATACCTATAATTCCTTTCCAAATCTCTATCTCAAACTCACTCAAAACAAACCCAAATACTTTTCTCACCATTAAACCTCTAAAAATATCTATTTGAGTCTTTGAGTACTCCTTTATCACCTAATAAGTCAGAATAGTGAAAACAAAGAATGCAAATGTGAAGAAAGGGGATGATGGGGGTTGCCCTCCCCCTTTATCAAGGGTAATCCCCAGGTATCCTTGGTGGAGTAAAGAGTGGGACCCTCTCAAGCCCATTTACTCAGGACAGGGTATGCTATAGTAAGCCATCCTAAAGCCTTCCTAATGGTCGACCTGAGAATTAATCCCATAACCTCTCCTACTTAGTAAAGAAGTAGGCAACATATGTACCACTGAGTTATGGGGGGAGTGGGACACTCTTGAGCCCATTTACTTAGGTGAGGGCACATAGTAATGCACTATCCCATACCTTTACAATGATCGACTTGAGGATTGATCTCATAACCTCTCCTACTAAATTGCATGATCATTAGGAAGGTTATTTCATGATGACTATACTACCAGTGTACCTATACTTGACTAAATTAGGCTCAAAAGGGTTTCACTCTCCACCTCATTAGGAATACCTAGGGGTAAACTCTAAGAAGATGGAGGGCGAACAGATGGTTTTAGAAAAAGGAAAAGAGTTTGAGGAGAAAGTAAAGAAGGTTGTTATTTCATCATCTTCACCCAAAGTGAATCAATTGAAGGTTCCCAAGAACCCAAGGAAAGAACTCGAGGGCACTATTTAGGAAAGATATGAAGAGACTGCTAAAGATGGTAGTAATATGTCTCCTACTCAACACAAAGAACATAAGATGAACGACTACAATCTACTTGATAAAGCTAAGCAAATAATGAAGCATGATCAAAAATACAAGGACAAGATCATTGTCCAAGGGCACTAGGTAAATTATAATGCTTTTTTCTTAGCCTATAATTTCAATATGGATGACTATTTAAAGCCTTATTGAAGTTTCCTAGAGATCAATGATAGTTATTCACCTGTTGCAATCAAGGCATTTCATTTTAACTTTACATATGATGAAGAAACTAAGAGGTATCATGCCTTTGTATTTCACTCCTAGAAGTCTAGCTGACATCTTAGGACTGGTATATGAAGAGGATGCTAAAAAATTCAAAGAGTATGAGGTGTCAAATAATTAAAAGGAGGAAAACTACTATACCTTTAATAAAAGATACAAAGCTATACATGGTAGACAAAGTGCCTGAGGGAGTGAGGAAGGGGCATATTTTTAGACCAACCTTACTACCATTCAAGCACTAAATTCTTGCCTACATTGTGGCAAGATTCATGGTAAATAAGAGGACTACTTTTAGTGTGCTAAATGAGATAGAGCTAGGGATAATGCCTATGATCATCAAGGGTAAGAAATCCAATTATGTCATTTCATTCTTCACAAAATGAAGGGGGCTATTATTTTACCCCCCACATTGTATCCAAAATACTTGAGAGGTATCACATCAAGTATGTGGAGGGTAAGGAAGAGGATACACAAGAATTCAATAAGCTATCTTGCTAAAGATGAATATGCATTTGGAAGGCAAGGATTGGATTCCAGATAAAGAAGCTAATGAAGAGGTTGTGGTTGAGCCCAAGAGCAAAGAGAAAAAAGAAGGGAAAGAGAAAGATGGTAGAGCCTTCTCAGTTTGAATTTGAAATACTTGCACCTTATTCATCAAAGGCTTACACAAATGAGCATTTGGCCAAAATGCTCTATGAAGTGGCAAAGAAGTAAGACATTCATTCACGAACAAGTTACGAAATTGAGAAGCCTGATTTAACTGTACAAGTGTTGATCTTGTATAAACAAAAAATATTTAGATATTGACAAGTTATCATATACGTAATTAATGAGCAGACATTTGTTCATGAACAAGTTACAAAAATTGATAGCCCTAGCTTGATTTTACAAGTCTTACTCCTGTATAAATATAATAAATTAAAGCATTTAGATATTAACAAGTTACTATACATAATTAACAAGTGATTATCAATATATAGGCAATGTCAATTACAACTTGTAGGATATTAGTGACAAGGGTAATCAGGTCTTTTCCTATCTAAATCTCACTTTTAGTTAAGTCCTAGGGGTGCAATGATATTTCAAAATTATAAAGGGTTTTTTTACTATAAAAAACTATAGGGTTCTTTAGATGATATTTTGACTTTTTTGTAATTGGTAATTATCTGTAGATATGAGAAAATATTTGAAATCTAATAAACGCCAATTGATTTCGTTCTGTACTTGTATATTTAATTTAAAATCAGAAAATTAAGTTTTTTAATTAATAATAAAGAAAGAAGGGGTTGACTGTCAACAAGCAAATGGATCTGCTATTCATCTCCTAATTAAGAAGTGTACACCAGATCTTGATCATTTAAATCATTTTTTGAATGGTTCAGTGTTTTATTATTTTTATTTCATTATTTAATTTTTTTTAAAAAATAATCTACCCGTCACGCCAGCTTGTCATATATATGTTTCTCTATGTTTAACAAACAATCATTAATTTAACGTTAACCATTATCAGCTTACTAAAAGCCTATAGCTCTTTGTTTCTTTGAATGAATTAATTCCATATTTACCAGACAAATAAAACAAAAACTAACATCCATCAGAATATACACTGTGCCAATAAGAGCTTTTTGTTTTGTTTATTCATCTGACTTGAGGACCGTTTCATATGATTCCTTCTCGCACAGGCCAAGAGGGGAAAATCGATTCCACTCCTGACTTCACCATGAATAAGCCACTGTCATATAAACTCGAGTCTTTAGTTGTACAAGTGGATGCCGGGTCCTAACGACTTTACTTCTATAATTAATCCTTTTCATTTTTCAATACCGTTTTCAATAGATCTTATCTCTTCATAATCAAGAAGAGCCAAATGCAATAAAATGATTTGTTTTGCTTTAATTTGGCTATTGACCTGAAAATTTTTTAGTGAAAAGATTCCTCCTTTGAAGATTCTCATTGTTTAGAGTTTTGTAATTTTAGCAGATGCTTATGTGCACGTTCTCGCTTGTCCCTATGCCCCATTTTTGTCCGTTCATTAGGGGGAAAAATTATTTCTTTCGTCCCTTTATTTGCCCTAATTTTCATTCCACATTCTCTCACCGCTTAAAAGAAAATGCATGAAATACTGTCATGACAGCACCAGCTTGCTTGGCGAGGTAGTCAGCGGCACATGCTCAAAGCTCACGGACTGTAAGTAATCAATGGACAATTATATATATATATATATATATATTTTAAGAGATTGGGAAAAACTTTACAATTAATAACATTGATACAAAACAACTGAAGACCTTTGGTTCGACTACTAAAAGAGTTATATCATACCCTGTAAAGGTCTCTAGTTTGAATTTTGAAAATGCAACAACAGCTTTTGCCAAAAAGATATCATTTTGGCTTCATCCGGATTAGTTTGGGTCCAACAGTTTAGAAAAACCGAAAATTAACAGTGGTGAAAAAAATCATTGCACTGCAAATCTGTCCTTGATTCAGCATTTTTTTTTTGGTCATAGAAAATTTGCAAATCTAACGCAAAAGATTTTCCACAATCAAATTGGCAAACGGCAGATTCTATGGCAAAAATAGGTTGTGATAGCTTTTTGTTGTTACGATGAGTTTTTGTGTACTAAGTATCATATTTGATTAACAATTAAGATCTCTTGCAGTACACATATATATATATATATATATATGTCATCGTGCTACTAATCAAACATTAAATCTAGTGTTTTCTGCTTCTATAAATATTAAATGGATGACTTGGTGATGAAAAGTTAATACTTTCATTTATAAAGAGAGCAGCATGTGCATCGCTATGTGAATCCAATTTACGTAATTAAATAATAAAGGATTGAAGTCATATCATGATCGATCCGTCTTATAAGAAATTTTTAAACTTTGTTACTAACTGGTCTTTCTTTCTAAATTAAATGTAGATAGTTTTTTAAGATAAAATAAAAAATCATTGAAATAAATTATTTTTATGAGAGATAATTTTAATAGAAGAAATCAACATTATTATTAGGCTATTTTTGTCAAATCATGAGACTTGTAGAAGTTTGTGCATATATAGTTACAAAGAAAATTAATAATTAGGTCCTTATAGTTTTTCTTAATTTTAAATTAAGTTTTTAATTCATTTTATTTTAATCAGACCGTTCCAATTTAATCTGTTAGATTTGTTAATCATTCAAAATTAAAATCCTTGATTTTTTTAAAAAATAATTAAGAACTTTTGTATTTTTATTAAAAATTATATAATTTTACAATTAATTACATAATTTTTATAACTCAAAATATATAATTAAATTATGTCTTCTAAATAATTTTTATACATTTAGAGTTTTCATAAAAAATTAACAAAAAAAATGTAAACATTGTATCTAACCAATTGTTTTTCTTTTTGGCCATAAGTATTAAATTAAAATTTCTATAAACTTCAAAAGTCATGTTGTCGTTTTCAAAAATTTAATTATTCATTAATAATTTTAACATTCAAAGACTAACATATTTAGTGAATCAAATTATAAGGAATGGAGTAAAACAAAATAAATTATAGGGATTCAATTTAAAATTGAGAAAAATTATAAAGACTTGTAAATTAATTTTATCATAGTTATTTTCAAAGAGAATATATGTATAATTTAGGCATGCATTTCTTCCGAGAGCGAGCTCCTAAACTTAAATGAAAATGATCTGTTCGTCCCCGAATGGCATAATTGATTAAATTAGTTTGTGGAAATATCAGAATTATCTTTTTCTTACACAGACACATAGGGAGAGAAAAAGTTCAGTGGATCGGTATTGGCATATAGAACCATAATTATTGCAAAAGTAACTGAGTTGGTTCAAAAGGGAATTAATGCGTTTAATTAACTACGTAATGATTTTTTTTTGGTCCATCAATTAAGCACTCTCTCTGTTTCAAATTATAAAATATTTTTTAAAAAATTTATATACAAATAACTATCATTAAATACACTTAACTAATCTATTTCTTTTAAGGCAAAAATATAAACTTTTAAAAATACCTTTCATTTAATAACCTTAAATTCATTAATATTAAATAGAGAGAGAAAGAGTAATATTAGAATAAACCTATTTAATGAAACATTAATCTTTTCAAAGAGTCTTATATTTTGGAATGACAAATTTTCTTCAAAAGTGTTTTATAATTTGGGACGGAGGGAGTACATAATTCAAAAGATAATAAGAAAATTAATCTGTAGGTCCCTCTAATTTTTCTCAATTTTAAATTAAGTCCCTATATTTTATTTTATCTTCATTAAATCCTTATGGTTTGATTGATTAAATATGTTAATCGCCAAGGGTTTAAATTCTTTAATTTTTACTTTCAAAATATAAAATTAAGAATTTTTAATTTGTTATTAAAATATTATATAACTTTAGAATTAATTAGGTGATATTTGGAATTGAAGATTTATATAATTAGGTTATGTTTTTTAAATAACACACATTTTTTGTCAAAAATTAAACATTGCATTAAATAAATTTTTCTTTTTGCTTTTTTGGCTAAAAGTATTAAATCAAGGGAAAATTACATGTAGGTTTCATGGAGAAGACTTATTTACAAGCAAATCTGGAAAAATTCAAAAAGCATAGTCAGATTTCTTGTGACTTGAGTGTAATTTAAAATTCAGATGCCAAGACAATAATATCCCTATAAAAATGCATTATGCCAATCAAGTAATTTACAACTAATCCACGAATAATTTATAACAATCACTTTAACTTTTTACAATTGTAACTTCACATATCTAATAGTTAAATTAATCACATGTTACAAGTTTAATACTAATTGTATGCAACTACTTTATTAGTAATTTTGCAACTATCACTTCAACATTTTATAACTATAACATTACATAGATCTAATACTTAAATCAATCATGCTTTACTAACAAAGTTTACCATTAATTTATATAATTACCTCATCAATAATTTACAACTATCACTTCAATATTTTATATTTATAACTTTATATATCTAATAGTTAAATGGATCATTTGTTACTAACAAAGTTTAACACTAATTATTTACAATTACTTCATCAATAATTTATAACTATCACTTTAACTTTTTACAATTGTAACTGTATATATCTAAATTTTAAACTTCACATATCACTTCAACTACACCTATCTAATAGTTACAATTGTTTTATTACAAGTAAGGACAGTATTGTCTTTGTACCTTAATTTCAAATTACACTTAAGTCTCAAAGAACCTAATCAGGGTTTTTAAATTATGTGGGACTTATTTGCAAACAAGTCTGCTCCACATGACCTATACATAATTTTCCCTTAAATCAATTGTTCTATAAATTTTAAGTGTTTTCATTTTTGAAAAGTTAATCATTCATTAATAATGTTAACCTTAGGGACTAATGGATTTGATTGATCAAATTATAAGGACTTTATTAAAACAAAATAAACTATTAGTACTCGATTGTAAGGGCTAATTGGCCATTTATTTGTTTTAATTAACCTTCTTACAATCCAATATTAGATCAGATCTACTAGCATGCTAGCTATCTGGGGAATAGATATTCTAAAATTAAGAATTCGTAAATTTCATGAAGTTTACTTCTTTTAAGAAAAAGAAAAAATTATGTTTTAAAAACATTATATATATATATATATATTTATAATTTCACGAAAATTAAAAGATCTTATCTTGTGTTTAGTAGAAGAGAAAAGTGAAGGGAAAAAAAAGTGTAGGAGAAAAGTAGAGGCAAAACCACTTTTTTTTTTCCAGTTTACTTAAGGAAAGAAAATTGGAAGTAGAGGAAATCAAGGGGAAGACAACCCGTGGACCCATGTTTTTCCCTTCAACTTTCTTGTTTTTGTTTTTTTTTTTATATCTAGGAAAAAAAGAACTTTTTCATTCAACTTTTTTCCCCAAATATGACGACATTTAAAAAAAAAAAATTCTCAAATCTACCCATGAATGTTTTTCATTTCCACCCTCCTCCCCCTCTCTACGTTCATTCTTATATATGAATGTAGTTTAAAATTTATAGATTATTATATATTGGGTGAAAGTAAATTAACTCTTAAATTATAGGTCCAAGAGCGTTTAGCATCTTAAACTCATTTTTTGTGTAATGTTCCTCTTTAACTTTTTAGTGGCGACATTTGTCACTACCAAAACATTTTTTAAGAAATAATACTTTATTTGATGCCACATCACTCTACCACGTGATGTCATGTCACCTACCATATATGCAACTAAAATCTAACATTTTAGGATTACAATTCATTTCACTTTTCACACCCAATCAAAATCTAATATTGTAAGAATCAAATTAATGAATTGTTCTTTTTTGTTGTTGTTCTAGTGATAATTACCAAGAAATATCTTTTAAATTTCTTAGCTAAATCCATTACCCTTAAACCAACTCACAATTCTTTTTTCTTTTTTCTTTTTCCTTTGCCAGAACTTACAATTCCTCATACGCAACTGCTGCAAACTTACAATGTTTGAAATATCCTCTCAAGGAAGAAATAGGGACCTAAATTACACAAATATCCTCTCCGAATGCAAAGTACAAAATCCTAAGGCTAAATAACGGGAAAGTATACCCTAAAATAATGTTGAACTCCTTCTATTAAAAATATATGCTATTAAAACATTTTTTTACAATGTTTGAAAAATATACATACATTTAATCTAGTTAAGAGCTATTAGCAACATAATTTCAAAGTTGCTTGTAATAAGACTGTTAAATGTTATTTAATTTCAATTAATTTATAATTTCCATTTATTATAATTTCTTGTTTTGTAACCAATCACATTTATAAAATAATCTTAGATTGATTTGATATTTATTAGTATATCTCATTCTGTTTTATATAAAACCTCAAATGGTGATTAATATTGTGGAATATTCTTTCTTTGACTATGTTTATTTCTTTCATGGTATCAGAACCTTAGCTAGTCAATGAAGTTTTGATAGTTTGTTTGGGCTTGAGCTTTCTCTAGTAAAAATCTAGCCTCTAGCCGTCCCTCTTTGTTTTGCTTTCAATATTTTGATGTTTCTATTAGTTCTAACATTGTTGGTTCACCTTGTGAAATTCGCTTAGTGATTTACTTATGCAAGAATCACTCTTAGTTTTTTTTTTTTTTTTTTGCCTAACAGTTCATTTCTCCAAGAATCACTTCGAAGTCATTTTTGCCTAGTGTTCCATTATTTTGAAAATCACCCTTGATTTTTCGTCTAGTGATTTATTTATTCAAGAATCACCTTGGAGGTTTTTTTTCCAGTAATTCATTTCTTCAAGTATCACTCATGAGTTTTCACCTTCAAGTTTTGTTTCTAGTGATTCATTTTCTTTGAGAATCACTTTTGAATTTTTGTTATTGGCCGGGGAATATTGATTTTCTTGTTTAGAGGGATTCATCCTAAGAATCACTTCAAACTTGTTTGCTAATTGATTCATCTTCTACAAAAATGATTTCAAGCTTTTGTTTATTAATGATTTATGATTTATGCACATGGTTTGTTTATATTTTCTCTCTTTGAAACCTCCTTGTCATACAAAAGTTGATGTTTGCTCTTACTATTGTTGTTGTCACTGCCAAACAACTGATTTTTTTGGGAGGGTTTTAAAAATGATCTCACTATAATTGATTTATTAGTTTCATTTATTGTAATTTCTTATTTTGTTTAGACTAACCGATCACATTTATTATAACTATTGTAGATTAATTTGATATTTTATTTGGATATCTCATTTTGTTCTATATAAACCTTCAGATGGCGACTCAGAAACTCCTCGTTGTACCTTCCTAGAATATTCATTCTTCAACTATTCTTATTTCTTTCAAACATGAATGATAATATGATATTTCAGTATAAAACTTATAAGTCCAGATAACCAGAACATGAATGATAATATGGTATTTCATTATAAAACTCGTAAGTCCCGATAACAAGACATATTGACTCGTTTAAATTAACGAGATCATTGGCATGTTGCTTTCAGATCCTCGATGTAGACAAATTAGACCCTTTGAGGACAAGTTGGGGGAAAAAAAACAATCGAACAACCTAATAATTTATTTGAAAATTAGTAATTGAACTCAATTTATACGTGTAAGGTGTCGGGGTGAAGTAGATGAATTGCTGGTGCAGAGGAGCCTGGCACTTCAGCTTCAACAAGAGCAAAAGTACAAGGACGTTTCTTCCGAGGTTTGCATATTTATGTTTCATTAGTCGATGTTCTAACTTTTTTTAACTTTCACTCATTTTATCATACTATGATTTTATGCATGCATCCATGTTTAATATATTAGTTTGAATAACATTTTTGTGTGTCAACAAAAGCTTAGTCAATTAACGCTATAAATTAAATACAAAATATTACTTACCAGAAAAAAGCACAATGTCTATGATTATGCAGAATCATCAAAATTTTGCTAACACGACTCAATGGATGGTACTTCCGAGTACATAATTTTGGACATCCTCAATGAATCAAGTGTGACGAACTTCTCTCAAGATTGTTGCATTTATAAGATTTCTGAAGATCTCAGGGAGCAAAACAAAGGTGCCTTCACTCCTCATTTGATTTCAATTGGCCCAATTCATCATAACAATCCAAAATTGGAGCCAATAGAACAACAAAAATACTTGTATTTCAGATATTTTCGTGATAAACTATCTTCAGATGAGGACAGACAGAATTTAGAATCATACACTGCTAGGCTTGAAGAGGAAGAAGAACAAATAAGAAAGTGTTACTCAGAAAAATACACTCATTTTGAGACAAAAAGGTTTGTGCGCATGATGCTATCGGATGCTGTTTTCATCATGGAGCTTTTCTTGAGAAAGAAGGAAGGAGAACTTGATCATGATTTCCAATTTAAGAATTCTACAATTAGAAGATCTTCGAGAGAGATTTGATATTACTTGAAAATCAAATTCTATTTGATCGCTTGAATACATTATATGATCAGGTTGTACCCACCAGTCGAAAGAATGAATTGGCCTGTCTGAGTTTTCTTGAACTTGCTCGACACTACTTTGAAATTTATGATCCTTATGCTGAAGCAACACTGGGACAAACCAAAACATTTCTCTGATTTAATTAGATATTTTATGATTCCCCAGGATTTGACCCCGGATGAGAATGATCGTCTTCCCATCATAAAGACTGCGACAAAGTTGAAGGGGGTAGGGATAACTTTTGAGAAAGTTTCAAACACATGTTTGCCAGATGTCAAGTTCGAGAAAGAGGAATATTTGAATCGGTTGATTTGCTTTGGCTTCTTGCAAAAGAGGCTCAAAGCTCGTTTGCTAATCCCAGAATTGAGGGTTGACTACTCCATAGAATCTGTCCTACGCAACCTCATGGTCTTTGAACAATATTCCTACTCTAAGCATCATTATGTTTCCAGTTATGTTGCTCTCATTGGTTATCTCATTCACAGTAAAGAAGATGTAGATGTGATGGTTGAGGACAAAGTTATTACTCATGATCTGGGGAGCGACAAAGAGTTGGCACAGCTGATCAATATTCTTTGCAAAAACACTGTTCTGAATTCCACATGCTATGGCACAGTTTCAAACAGATTGAACACGCACTACGACAGCCAATATAACAAAACTCTTGCCCTGTTATCTTCAGTATACTTCCCGGACCTTTTGAGAGGCACCGCAACAGTAGCGGCCATTATTGTCGTTGTTTTTGCAATCACAAACTTTGTTAAAATTGTAAGGGATTTCGCACATCCTAAGTAATGCTGTTTTCTCACCTGCTAATATTGGTGGTGCTTTTTTTACTTTGTATTTGTAATATTTTTATGCTTTCATGACTTTATTGGATTTATTTCAAAACATATAAAGATTTCATTTTGTCAATATCTACGTGAGATTCAATAAAATTTTACATTAGTTGTTGAGAACTTAATACAACTTTCCTCCTTTATGCAGGTTTGGGGTTGGTTGTTGTTGTTGTTATTGCATATACAAATTGGATATTATTTCACATATCCAACATGCATGCATTGAGCTTGCCAGTTAATTGTTTTGTATGTTTGATATTGTTGAAATAGTATACCTAAGAAATTGTGTCCAATTTCGTTTGTTTTGTGTAATGTTCTAAATATGGGAAAGAAGTATTTGGTAAAAGCAATGAAAGAAAGAAAGAAAGAAATTCATGAAACCTAATACATATAGTGAAAATGCTAGATGTAGGTTATGCAAATTTTATGCCAAAAAAAAAAAGGAAGGGGGGGGGGAGAGAGAGTGTTGAAGACTGATCACTAAGGACCCGTTTGGTTCAATGGAATTTTGGCTCAGGAAAAGGAAAGAGAATGCAATTTCACATTTTCTTAAATTTAGTTAACATCAAATTGAATTCTTCAGAAATGATTTTCAAGGAAGAGAGTGGAAATTAATTTCCTAAGCTGAACCCATGGAAAATATAATTTTCTTAGGAAATTATTTTTACTGACCAAAATGTCCTTCACTTTTTTTTAAATCTCCTTGGTGAACCACGTTCACCATCTCCTTCACATTTTCATACACTACCGTCACCTCTTTCAGATCTTCAAAATTGTCTCCTTCAAATTTCTAGCATTGGCTCCACCCTCCTCTGTCGACCTTTGCACTGTTCTCTATTCTCTCCATTACTGTGTTCTTCTTCGACTATGTGATTCAGCCATGGAAGCAACTCCTTGCATCTGGCAAAGAGTTCAGTTGTAGAAGTTGCTCCTCCTACCTGTAGATTTGGGTCATCGGAGCCAAGCCATTGAAGGTGATGCTCCTTGCAATCGTCCGAACATCATCCTCCATTGAATGTCCCCAACCTTGCTGTCATCCCTAACCTCAATGGTGTCGCCAATCGTCATCTCAGTAAAACTGATGATGATTTATGCTTGATTTCTATGGATTGGATCTGTAAAATTGATGAGAGAGGACGAAAGAGACAAGGCTATTAGAAGAAAAGGGTAATAATATTATCTTTTATTATTTTTAATATTTTGTTAAATAAAAATTGTTTCAAGATTCCATTATATTTTTCCAGTCCGCCAAACATGCTTCTCTTAACATTTTCCAATTCTATTTCTAATTCTATTTCCAAATCATTTTCCAATTCCATTTCTTTTGAAATGCTTCAAGTGAACCAAACGAGCCCTGAGAGTTCCAACATGCTTTTCCTTTTCTCACTTCACATTAAAAGAAATATTCCCTCAAAGTAAAGAGAGAAAATGATATTTTAGTTTTATTTATAAATACGAGCATATAATTATATTTTCATTACAATTTTTTTCTTTTATCTTCCATTAAATTTTGAGTGAAAGAAAATATGTTATTAAGGTATATGTATTTAAGAAGAAAAAAGTTGGCAATTTATTAAATCTTTAGAGAAAGTTTATGAGTTTTAAGATATTTTTTAATTCTAGTAAAATATGTTGAAAAAGACTTAAAAATAAAAATAGAGATAGTATTATATATTATAACTTCAAACGATATTATACAATTAGCAACAATGCACAACTACAGTCTGGAGAAAAGAGTAATGAAAAAAAAATGTTAATAGCATAAAAAAAGAAAAACTTTATTCTCTGCCTTTCCTATTCTCATTATAATTTTTGGTTAAAAATTACTTTTGCTCTTCAATTATTCACGCAGGAGCGTATGGTATTCTAAATTTTTAGTAGTATAATATTCCCTTCAACAAATGGTGAAATTTTGTTATCACTGTTAAAATGTTAAGTTTAATTGTTAGTTGACTTAAACAATTATAAGAAAAGACCTAAAAAATTATATTAAAGAACCCTAAAAGAAAATTGATATTAATTAAGTCCCTTAACTTATAAATAAATTTCAAAACACTAATAATATTTCTTACACATACAAAAGACTAAAATCCTAGTTTGACAAGCTACTTTGACCAATTACTAGGTGAAATTATTGCTGGCAATAACACTAATAAAAAATATTAAATATTAAAATGTTAATATTTTAATAAGATGTTATTAAAATAAATATTAAAGTGAACATCAGGTGGCCTGTCAAAGTAGTTGACCAAAATGGTATTTTAATTTACTCTTTTACATAATAAGAAATAATATTTGTCTCTTGGTAATTATTGTAATTTAGATAATTTAATTGATATCATTTTTATAGGATTTTTATTTGTAATTTTTGAATTTTTATGTCATTTTCTATAATTTTTGAATAAATTAACCATCAAAATTAATGGTCAAAATACCTTTTAACCCTATAATTTTTAAAATAATAAATATCAATTGTTCACATTTGATCCATAAAGAACCCAAATTATTACTTTTTGTGGCACGTTGTAACACCCTTATTATTATGAACAAATAATTGTCATATATTAATAATAAAAACTTGCCAATTAGATACTAGCTTTCAAGCCTACAATAATTTTTTCATAAATAAAACAAAAACAAAAAAGAAACTTTAATAAAAAGAACAAGGCTCAACTTAAAATCAAATAAAATTAACTCTCTAAAAGAATTTCGGAGGACCCAATTTACCATAATTTATTAAATGTTTCAAAATGAATAAAATAGTAACTTAAATATACTTTCCTATGTAATGTTAATAAATAAAGTGTAAACCGAACATACATGTGTGATACCAACAAGATAATTGAATCATTACTCAATTCTCCAATGCCTTCCCTTGTGACTTATCAAAACCCTCACTTGAAAATTGTAAAGGGTAACAAATGAGATCTATCATCTTAGTAATAAATGAAAATTCTGATATACTAACACACCAATGCAAAATTTCATTTCACAACATGTATTTATATAAATAATATATTTTGGAAAACTAGTTCATAAATGAGTTCTTAAAAGGGAATACTATTTATACAAGTCAAAAGTATATTAAAAATAATCATATAATAGGTGGTGCCATCCCTGACCATCCTTTATGCCTCTCATCCACCTTATCCAGCTCGCAAGAGTCTATCTTGAGGATACACTTGGCTAAAAGTGCATTGCTTGCAAGATTAAATCCCTTCCTTAAAAAGGAGGTGCCCAATGTTTTACAATTCCAAGACAAGGGAAAGGAGCCCTGTGTGGGGGTATTCATGTGTTGGCTCGACAAGAAGCTTTAATTTGTTGTATTTTAGTCACAAGTATGATTATAGATTGTTCTTATAAGGTTCATGTGCTCTTTGATCCTAATTCTATTCATTCTTTTATCTAGCATTGTTTTTAATATAAATGTTTTGGATTGGACCCAACCAAGCTCAAGTATCTTTTCAATTGTAGTTAGTTTTATCAGTGAAAGTTATGAAGTGTATAAATCTTCTATATTACAAGTTGAAAGTAAGGATTTCTTGATGAATTCCTATAAGGTTGTTTGATGAATTTAATAATAAACAAGGTTAGTTAAGAATTATATAGATTAGTTAAGTTATTACTTTGATGAGAAGATCCTGTTGTTGAAGGCCAAATTTTAGGCAAAAAAAGGGAGATGGAGAATAAAGTGTAGAAATTTAAACTCTTGACTTATAATGAGGATTCAAATTATTTTTTTGGAGGTTAAATAGGTCATATATGAATAAGATTTGAAATCCAAGTGATGAGAAACTTGAATTATGGCTTAAAGTGGAACATAGGAGCTAATATGGTTTAGTTTGAATTATTGATTTAATGTATGTTAATGTCATTCAAGTGGTCATTTTAAGTTATAAGGCCAATCTTAAATAAGGAATCAGATTTATATATTGTATGAATGGTTAGAAATATGCTTGCATTAAGGAATTGCAAGAGAATATAAGTTCAAGCATTTGAGCCTTCAAAACAGAACCAAACGAGCAGTAAAGCAAATGTCTACACTTGATGGCCTTAAAGGTTTAATTTTGATCTGAAATTTGGCAAGAACTTATAGGACATGTAGAAGTTTTTTTCATCCAAATATGGTAATTTTTAGAACTCTATATAATATTTTATAAATTTTTGAATTTGGTTTGAAAAGCTGTAATGAAACAGTTCTATATCCTTTGTATCAGATCAGATATTTTATAAATTTCCTTGACTAAATGGACTCCAATGACTTTGAAATTTTAACAATAGATAGTACATGAATATAGCTTTCCAGAGAATCCTAATTTCTTCAATTAGATGTTCCTAGCTCAAGTTATGATCTTCTAAAGTTTAGAATCAATTATGTGTTCATAATATGCATAAACTGGGTGAAGAAGGATTAAGCTTTATTATTCTTTAACTAACTATCTTGGTTTATAATAAGATATTCTAAGCATCTTAAATGAGTTAAAATGGTCGTTAGTGGTGGAAGGTGGAGGAAGAGAAAGTGAGTAAAATAAGGAAAAGGATATAAGAGCAAGAGTAAGAGTAATATTGCGTATGAATTAGACGAGTATGATGTTTTGATAATTTCTTAATAAATTTATGATGAGATTTATTGGTAAAATTTTGGCATACTTAAAAGAGTCAAGAATAATATGAATATTTTTTATGGTTGACACGATAGAAGTTTAAATAACATGAATATTATTTATAGTAATTTTAGCCAAACAAAGGCAAAATTGAAATAAAAAAAAATCCCTCTCTTACACCACTAGAAGGCTTAAAACTCAGAACCTGAACTTAAACACCCTATTGGACATAATGACTTATGACATTATATGTAGTTTAAATTTTGATGATGACAAATATAGAAAAGTTAACTATATAGTTATGCCTAATTGTTTTCATATATATATATATATAATAGGTAACTAGACTATTGAACAAATACTTTAAAGTGTTTTTACTTATATTGTTCCATATTATATGAGATTTGAAAAAATGATTTGTGCACATCAAAGTTATTTTATACTATCATATTTTTTTCTTATCTTAAATTGA